CCAAGGAATTTTACTTTTGAGGATTAGTTGGGGAAGGATGACTTTTAAACTTACAACAGAAACCTTAAAGAAATACAAAAGAAAACTCACATTTAGAATTTCATCCTTACAGAATACTAAGGCTTCAGGTTGTTTGCTTGAAGGAAAAGCTTTTTCAAAAGCTACTTTTGCAGCAGAAGCAGCAGGGGAGTAAGTGTCACACTGAGCAATCAGCCAGTAACCCATGATACTTTTTAAGTAAGGAGCTAAGTGTTTTTTTACTTTAAGAATCAGTTGTTCGAAAGATTGCTGAGTTGCTTCTCGAACACGGCGATCATGATCCTGTTAAACAAAGAAAAGAAGGGGAAAAAAATAGAAAAGTTTATTGGTTTAAGAAATGTACCTTTGATTTCAGGTACTTAAAAGCAAAAGTGGTGATTAAAAAGTCATGTTTGCAATTAATTTGATTTCAAACATAGATTTGAAAATACACACCAATGACAAAAATTTTTTGTATCCCAAGGTATGGGGGCACTCCTAATTCAGTAGCATCATTTTCCCAAACTGTTGTATATTCAGACTGTAACCTTTCCCTGATATCCCTAACAACAGGTTTTGTTTCCAATTTATACAAACATTTTTCAGACAAGAGGCAGGAGAAACAGGAAGCCTTGAAGATATCTTTTCAATTAGAACTACCATAAGCCGTGCATTGCTATCCTTTATTTGCATATGAATTTACAACATCATGATTTTCTACACTCTTGATTCCAGAAAGAAACAGTAGGAATTACTCTAATGGGTAGGAACAGTGATTTGTTTTGCTCTATACCATTTTTTCAACAGTAGCCATTCAGTAAACAGATTGGAAATACAGCAAATAGATCAAGAAAATTATTGCTAATCTGGCTACACATAATCTTTTCATATTTGTGTTTGGGTTTTTTTAGTGTTAAGTCTGGTCAGATATTAGCCCTAGATTAAGAAGGTTTATAATTATGTTAACTGAACAGACTCTCTAGCCTTTCTGGAATCCACATAATTTTCCTAAGAAATATAGTACCATCTTTTAAACATAAAGGTCTAACAGATCTATTAAGGAAGTACAGTCCAGATATCAACAGTTTGAGATTCCACCCACTGCCAATACTGAAATATGTCCACAAAACAAACAGTATTTTGCTTCAACTTGATGTTTCTCCTAGAACAAGTCAATAATTCCAACAAAGGTAGACAGATCAACAAAGACCACCTTAGAGATAGTCACAAGAAGTAGACAGGCAAGTTTCTAATTTAAATACTTCAACACTTACTAGTGAAATTTTACAATAAATTCTTGGCCAGTAAGGAAGAACACCTTTAACAACTTCTGCTTCTCTTTCCTTGCACATTGTCCCAAACTCTTGCATAGCCTAAAATCAAAATATCAAGAGCATGATTTAAGAAGTCAGGTAGATATTTTCTGTAATTTATCGGTTTGTATCTAAAACTGCAACTCCCTTTTCCAAAAATCAAGTAACTTTTTGAAAATGAGCATCTATAGAAACAATTGCATGATGGACCTTGCTATAGTTTATCCAAGATATCTTCTGGATTGCACTTCAAGCAAATCCGCCAAAGTGAAATTAGTTACTTCCTCTTCCTCTTCCTCTTCCTCTTCCTCTTCCACCCTCAAGAAAACTGTTTTATTCTCAAATTTAAAAAAAAAAAAAAAATTAGGGGGGACAAAGGATACACCTACTTTTAATTTGGTTGTGACATCCCTTTTAGATAGTTTTCTCAACACCATTCGGAAATCAGCATCCACAAGGCTGTCTACCTCCTCTGCTCCTTGAATTGCAGGAACATATCCTAGATCACTCTGAGATGTTCCAAAGCCAATAAACCCAGGCACTGTTCCACGTTCTTTGGCAAGGAGCTCTGCAGCTCGGCCGCTGCTAGAAGGCTGACAAAACAAAAGGGACAGAAGTCAATTATCAATTTAATTTTATTTTGCGCCCATCATGCATTGGAAAATATGATCCTATTTTTATTGTATAATTAACCTTCTAATTAAAATAAAATCTCTCAAAGAAGAGTCCACCTGTGCTTCAAACAGAGAAACCTAGAAAATTATTATTCTCTTTAGGATCAGGCTGAGAAAGCTGGGGATGTTCAGCCTGGAAAACAAAAGGCTCCAGGGAGCCAACATAACATCCTTCCAGTATCAGAAGGGAGCCTACAAGGAAGCTGGAGAGAAGTCTTCATCAGGAACTGTAGTGATACGACAAGGAGGAATGACTTTAAACTGAAACAAAATAGGTTTAGATTACATATGAAATTCTTGCCTGTAAGAATGGGGAAACCCTGGCACAGAGGCTGCCCCATCCCTGGAAGTGTTCAAGGCCATGTTGGACAGGGCTTGGAATTAACCTGGTCTAGCAGAAGGTGTCCCTTCCCATGGCAGGGGTGGATGAGCTTTAAAGTCCCCTCCAACTCAAACCACTCTATGAGTCTTTTTGATGATTCTGTGAATCAGAATTCTCTTTTCTCCTAATGCATGAATACTTCTGGAAAATTTTATTGTTTTATTGCTTTATATAGCTTTTTTGCTATGCAAAAAAAAGCCTAACAGAAAATTCCTTTTGCAAGCAAATAATTTATTAAGAATCTATAAACAACTTATTAACAAACTATTTTTCCTCCTTCACTGTTTCTGGCTTTCCTAGTTCTTTTCATGGGCCAACAGAGCTCCCAGGGAATGTTCCTTTTTACTCTGAACAAATAAAATCACATAGACAAAATAAAGGATTCTCCCATCAACTAAGTGGCCAAAAATGATTTAGAGAAATGGAGGAAAAGCATGCCTATGTAAAAAGTATAATAATACTATCACATAGGTGTGTGTTTTGGAGCTCAACACCACTTCTAGTTTACCCCATTTGTATTATCGGCTCAGCCTTGTTTCAACCACGCTCTTTTGGAAAGACTGCCCCAAACCTGACTGATGCTTAAACGTCCTCTGGGACACCTCACAACGCAAACACCTTTTATTTCCTAATGGCGGCAGCAGCTTTGTGAGCTTGTGGGGTTTAAATCACCTTTTCTGAGCTGTTACGCCCATGCTGCTTTGCATTGAGTCTTCCCTAAATCCAAGGAGGAATTAGGGAAGTGGAACACCTGAGTGATGGGGGAGATGTCACCTCCGGCCTTTTGGCAAGGAAACCACGCCGAATGCGTTTGCTGCACTTGGCTGAACCTACACCCGCGGTGACTTTGCTCTCCCTCTGAACCAACACCGCGGCCGGGCCAAGCAGCGCCCGCGGGCCCGGCCGCAGCTCCCGCAGCCGGGCCCCGAGCTGGCGCTGCCCGCCGGGGGAGCCGGGCTCCGGCGGCCCGCAGCGCCCGGCCCCGCCCGGCCCCGCCCGGCCCCGCTCGGCCCCGCCCGGCCCCGCTCGGCCCCGCTCGGCCCCGTTCGGCCCCGCTCGGCCCCGCTCACCCGCACGTTGCCCTTGGTTCGCTGCTTGTTCTTGCCCCCCATGGCAGCGGCGGCAGCGCCGCGACACGTCCGGGGCGGGGCGGCGCAGCGCGGGCGGGAGCCTGCCTCAGGGACATCCCTTAAAGAAATAGAGCCAGCTTTATGTGCGGTAGATGTAATTTGCGGTAGATGTAATTTGCGCTGTTTTTATTATGATGTTGAATATTTCTTAAAGTATACGCGTTTGTATTAGGAGTCTCATTTTCGCAGGCGAAACCTGGTGTTAAAACCTGATTTACACGTAAAAGGATGTGGCTGGGCCAGGAGGGATACAGGGATGCCCAGGCGCTGAACAGCCCGAGATGGATATTATAGAAATATTATAGAAATCCTCGGGCAGATACGTGTGAATGCAGCATTTCCCTAAATTATTTCAAAGGATTCAACAACTTTGGACACTGAGTAGTTCTTCCTCAGCACTAAAAAAAGAAAATCTCATCAACTTATAGACTCTGAATGGAAGAATAGAATGACTGCCGAAATCCTGGCGTCAGGTGGAATTTTCCCTATAAAACCCTGTGCCAGGATGGAGGTGTGTGGGCACAGAGGAAAACCTCTGCTGAGGCTGACTCCTTGTTGCACACCCAGCGTCGGGCTCAGCACTGTTCTTTCCTTGTGGCTGGCTAGATAGAATTTGATTGCAATATAAATATTTTTTTTTTTTCATTTTAATTTGGCTAGACAAACTTTCATTTATAGCAATCTTAAACTTCGAGTGTCCCGCACGGAGCCGCTGCATTCTTGTACACATACAAGGACTTTAGATTTGGTAAAGTTTCACCCACGTTTGTCAAATGGCATAGCTGTGAAGTATCCCTGCAAGAGGTGTTCCAAGTCTATACCGGAGAGCTGAATGTTAGTGATTTTACTGGATTCAGAAACATTTAATCAATATTTAATCTGTTAATCATTTTTTTATTTACGATTGGCTTTTCGCAAATGTTACAATGAATATTATATGTGTAATGTTAGAAAGTTATTCTGTATTCATTCTCTTAAGTAGTGTGTTAAATAATTTTAGGTTACAGTATAATGTTAAAATAGAAATTTTGTGATACATAATTTGTTACAAGCTCAAGCGGGAAGATGAGATAATCAAGAAACTCTTCATACAGAGATGTCAGCGAAGGGGGCCCATAAAAAGTTACAGCCTCCTTATCAGAAAAGACAGTCTACCACCTTTTCTCCATCTCTTTAGAACCATCAAAATTAAGAAGAAGTTGACAAAAACCAGAAAAGTTCTTAATTTGCAAAGAATTTATGCATCATGTATGAGATATATGAATATGCAACAGGCTATTGCTTTTAAGGTTATTCCTTTGTTCAGAAGGGATGCTTTTTGTGACTTAGTGTCTGAGTGCATCTGGACATCTGTAATTATTTGCTTTTTATTGTCTTGCAATTGTCCTAACTCTAAATTTTATTACTCTAATTGTATTACTATTTTTATAACCATTCTATTATTATTAAACTTTTAACATTTTTAAAAAACAAGTGATTGGCATTTTTCACAATTAATAAAAATATTTAATCCAAACAAACGAATGTCTGCTTTTTCTACCACAGGATTTAGATACAGTATCTGCAAAATTAGCATTCATTGATACAACTTAATTGAAATCCCACTCAAAAACACACACAACATAATGCACTTCATATTACAGACTGAAAACTTGAGAACTCAGAAGGTTGAGGATCCATTCAGAGTTTTGGAGCATGCTATAAGGGAACCTGATCCTTGGTACAATTCTGCTTTTACACAAACCAAAATGACAGATGTAGGAGCCACCATGGGATCTATCTTACCTGCACACACACTTAGAGAAAATTCTTATGCCTTGGAGCTGGCATCCTAGCTCATCCTGATAGCATGAGTAAGACTCTTGTAAACTTGCTCCCTCCCTTTGTTCTTTTTTAAATAAAATAATTCTCTCATGGCTTACTAAACTTTCAGGTAAAAAGTAGAAGATTGTTTAAAAAAAAGTTTTCATGAAGTGTATGTAAACAGTAACACTTAATGTAAACATTATGGTCTCGCTCCTGAGATGCATGTCTTTTCTTATTTGTATATTCATTCACCATATTCCATCTGTTCATCCATCTACAGTTCTGTAACTGGTTATCAAACACATTTTCTTTCATTTTAAGTAGGTACGTACCCTAAATCTCCTTAACACCAGAAAGTGCATAAAGCATTCATATAGTCATTTTCATTATTCAGGATTTCACTGGGTATTTGTTTACATTGAAAACTGGATTCATCACATGAATCATGAATTATTAATTCCCTCTCTGATCAACTGTTGCAGAAAAGCTAAGCAATCTGTTAAGAGGGTTTAAATTAGATTAAATTAGAAATGTAGCTGCTGGCACCTATGCTGATTTTCAACCCCTTCAATGCCCTTCAACCCCAAAGTACATTTGAAATATGTCAGCACATCCTTTTTCTTCCAAAAAATGATATAGTTGCCCCAAGTCCATGTGATTTCCCCTGGCACCATGTGCATCAAAACATTTTTCTTCCAAAGTGGGGAACTTTCGTTGCTTCTGGATCTCAGCATGTCCTCCACCTTCCAAAGAAACATCTTCTCTGTGCCGAATAAGGATTCTTTTCCACGTTAATCTTCTTATCCTGAAAGCAATTGGGGAAATATTAATCTACCTATAAAATAAAGACTGTTTTGGGAAATTCTATGGAATAACTATTAATACAGAAGTCAATAAAATCTATTTGTGTTTATATATTGACAGAGATAATGGTTCATGAGCTGGTCACAGAAATACTACTAACATGCAAACATTCTCATAAGCAGAAGCTTGGGGTTTTTTTATCTCCTCAGGACTGAAAACTTTTAATGCTATTCCTCACAAAATAATTAATGAGGATGTGGTTTCCATTTCAGGGCTTGCTTCTATCTTCCCGATGCTAAGAATTCTCACACAGTCTTAGCTGATAATTGATAGCTGATAATTATCAGCTGATAATCAAATAACAGTGCTTATTTAGTCTGCACCACTCAGAAGCAGAATTAAACACAAAGGTTAAGTGATATAACAGCACATGTATACAACACAACTGGGTACTACAGTCCATCTCTATAAAAGTGAAAGAAAGGAAAATAAAACAGAAATAAATATGCATTCTGCCGTATTGGCTGCTTTGACTGTTGCAACCAACAGTACATTGGATATTCAGAGTTGTACATGCATTATTTCATAATAAATACTTTGCAGATCTTCACAATCACCACAGGCAGGTGGTTGAATTTCCCACCGTCTAGCCACATGTACAACGTGACAAAATACAATATTCTAACTACTAATGGCATTTAAGTACAAAGAAGAACTAACCTTGACCAGAACTCTTCACAACTACTTTGTAAACCTTCTACACAAACAACACCTGGCTTCCCTGGCATGCAAAACCCTGACAGAGAGAGCTCCTTGGCCCAGTCAATAATATTCTTTCTTTTTTGCTTGTTGTAAATGTGATGACTGTAGATCCACAATCGAGTGAACATGGTGACTTCTGACTGTGTGGCATCTGAGGCTGTCCTTGGGAAGGATGAAAGCTCTTTGTCAATGTAAGCAGCTGCGTGGTCTTTAACCCATTCCCTCGCACTCAGCATGCAGGGCTCGCCGCTGAAGTTTTGCATCAAATATGTTTTTAGATCAGAGTTCAGGAGAATCTGCTGAGAGCGGCTTAATAATGATGACCTAAAGAAAAGGAAAAATATAAATGCATATAAATATATATGTGTTTACAATTTAGCATGTTTTTTAAAACACAGAATAATAGAATCCTTAGGTTTGGAAAAGACATCCAAGATCAAGCCCAACCTTTGACCGATGATCCCTTTGTCAACCAAACCAGTGCAGTGAGTGCCACATCCAGCATGCACTGACCACCTCCAGGGAGGTGACTCCAACACCTCCCTGGGCAGCTCCTTCCAATGACTGACCAACCTTTCCATGAAGAAACTCTTCCTAATATCCAACCTGAACCTCCCCTGGCACAGCTTGAAGCCATTTCCTCTTGTCCTGTCACTGGTTCCCTGGGAGAAGAAGCCAATCTCCACCTGACTACAACCACCTTTCAGGTAGCTGTAGAGGTCCCCCCAAGTCTCCTTTTCTCCAGGCTAAACAAAGCCATCTCCCTCATGAGCTGCTTCTCATTAGGACTTGCATTCCAAGCCCTTCCCCAGATTCACAACTTTTCAAAACTTTTGCTTCAAGTTGCCAAGAAAATCAGGCATAGCTAGATAATATGAACTTGCTATAGATATTTAACTCATATTAGCTATGGAAACATTTTAATTATTATTTAATTGGTGTGCTAACTCTTGAATTGACAAACAGCACTACCATCTGTAAAACAAAATCAAGAAAAAGGTACTTGAAAAGTAAGTATGGTGGCTGAACTAATTTCCTGTAATACACAAGTCTACTTCTTTAAATAGAAATAAAAATATCAGAAGGCTGGAAGAAACAGCATTGTGACAAAGGAAGAATAAGACCTTTGACTATGTTTTCACCCCTTTAGTTAGTCTTAAGCTTTATTAAAACAGCCACGTCTTTCTTCTTGAGCATCAGGTCAATGTATAGTATCTATATGTAACACTCCTGTACAGGTGATGGCTCCTTCACACTTTTTCCCTTTCCCTCACTTATTTGCTGAGCACAACAGAGAATTGTAAGCTTGTGTATTTGTTTTTTCTTCAGCACTTTTGTCAACCTGGCTTAATTCAGCAGTAAACCATCAGAAAGCAGTCCCTTCTCTGATCATAACCGTATTTGTGCAATACACTCTAACTTATAAATGTTTTTATTAACAGTCGTACCTCACAGTAATTTCTGGGAGAACAGTCGGATATTTAAATGGTAAAGCACAGGCCATAGAGAATTCCACCTAAAAACAAATGAGGAAATGTTTACTTCACATAAGCCATAAAATCCCACAAAGTAATAAAATAATTTTTAAAAAAAGGTGTTTACAATACCATAGAGGCACTAGGCACCTCTGTCTTTACGTTCAGTATAAACTGAACTTTTGAAGACGGCACCTCTGCAGACTCATTTTCAACATAGTGTTTCAGTTCCGCTAGAGCCAGCTGGTCTGTGATGGCAAACTCTTCCTCATAAGGAAACATGCTAGACAGTAAGTCTAACTCTGAAATTTGTATCTCTGCTGCTTCTTGGTTGGCCATTTCTGTTGTTCCCTGAGCAAAGAAAAATATAGGGAAGAAAAGACACGGCTTGAATACGGGACAAAGTCCATTAACTGCTCGCATGGAAATCATGCTACAGAATCACAGAAAACGCTGAGTTTGAAGGAACTCACAAGGATCATCGAGTCTTCTGGGCTTTTCGGGACAATCACAAGAGTCACAAAAAGCATTGTCCGAACGCTTCGTGAGCTCTGTCAGGCCGGTGCAGTGACCACTTTGCCGGGGAGGCTGTTCTAGTTGCCAATATTTAAAAATATTCAACCCTAACCCTCTCCTGACACAGCTTCACGTCTTCCCCACGTGTTTTGTCACCCCTCCACTTCCCCTCCGGAGGAAGCCGTGGACTTAAGGCACACTAATAGTTATTAATACAAGCCCATCACACGCGGCTCGTGTCTGCCGTCAGTCCGGGTCACGCACACACGCTGACAGCCCGCGCACTTCCCACCGCCCTGACGCGGATCAGGACACGCTGGCGTGCCACCAAACCAACACTTTGCACACAGGGCAGCTACCCTGTGCTGAGGAGGATGGGGATGGCGGGGAGCATCCCCTGCCCCCGCACACCGCGGCACCGCTCCGCCGCCCCACAGAAAACAGAGGAGGCGAAAGGCGGCCGGCGCGGCGCCGCGCATGCGCGCACGCGTCCCGCGCACCACCCCCCGGTCACGGCCCCACAATGCAGCGCGCCAGAAGCACACATGGCAGCCGGTGACCGCCGCCCCGCCACCGGCGATTGAGGTGAGATTGAGGTCTGCCCCGCCTGGTGGAGTCATGCGCCACCTCGCCCCGCCGCACCGGCAGGTGAGGGACGGAACCCCCTCCCGCACCCGGGGCCGCTGCCGCGCTCCTACCGCCGCGGCTACTCTCCTCCCAGTCCGAGACTCGCGCCGCCGGCGCGCTGCGGCCGTCGCTTCGGCCGGGACGGGCGGGGCTCCTGATTGGCTGCGGCAGCTGTCGGTCATGGCGCGGGCCAATCGGAAGCAGGCGGGGGCGGGCCGGTGGCGGCGGGCTCGGGGCTCAGGTGCTGCCCGCGGACGGGCAGCGCCGGCTGGGGCAATTGTGATCATTGTGATAATTATTATAATTATGATGTTTTCATAGCTCGCTGCCCGCCTCACCGAGCGAGGCTCCCCCAGCGACCCTCTCAGGGCCTTTCCCCAGTGTGTCAGTCAAACGCAGGTGCGCGTTTGGTGGCTTGCGGACCGCTCTGTGGTATTTTTAAAAATATAAAATGCTTCAGTCGTTTAGGCTGTGCATTCCTCGTGAGGGCTTTGCCGTGGTGCAAAACCTGTCGGACAGGTCAGCCCAGGCGCAGCGTGGGTTAAATTAACAGCCCCACAATTTGGAAAGGGTTTTATTAAAATTGTTTATACGAGATCAAATGTTGCAAAAGTTGCTAACAAAAGGGCTAATAAAGATTTACTGCTGGTCGTGTTCACATGAAGGGCGGACAGCAGGGTTCCTGCAAAGATTGCAGAGACTTGATTTTGAACCCTTTTAGCTTCCTTGTTTTCATTGCACAACGTGAGTTTTGAGTTTGCCTGAGATTTTTGGATGATCTGTTGTTAGGTAAGGTACAGGGGCTACAGATTAGAAACTAAAATGTGCAGAAAACTAGAAACAACATGTGCAGTAGCCACATATCTGAAGCCAAGCACTTTGCTTAGGACTCTGTAGATCACTCTTGTTGAGAAGGGTCCACAGGTATAGTAGATAACAGAGCTGTCTGAATTATTTGCTTGATACGTGGGGAAGGGGATGATAAGTCTTCCCCAGCAAAGAAATTGAAAAATCAGAATTCCCATTGTCTGTATATTTTCAAATATGTCAAGAGTATTTTACTTGTGTCAGATTTCATCAAAGATGCTGGAAATCTGCAGTAAACAAAATGAAAAGGCTGCAAATTCTTCAAGATTTAACTGGGACAGAACCAATTATTTTTCATAAAATTCTTGTGGTGTTAAGTCCTTAAGGTTTATGGGATTTTTGATACTGAAGTTTCCAGTCTTGTTATTTTGTGCAATACTTTTGAGTTAACATTTTAAATCATTTGGGTTTTGTAATTCACACTGTGATCTTGTCTATACAACAGTTACAATAGTTTCATGTTAAAATATAATGAATATTTTTTTGTTTTGAAAATGTCAAATAAAAACAAGTTAATTCACCTCAAGGGACAGCTTGCCCATAGAAATAACTTGTGTAGCAATGAACAAGGAAAATTAAAACTACTTTCTAATCCTACTGTTTTTCTTTGTTAGGTCACTCTTCCTCTTAGGAAAAATTGCAGACAACAAATATGGGCAAGAAACGCACCAAAGGCAAAACTGCACAGGCTGATGAGTCTCCGGATATACTGAGTATGTTTCCTTGGAGAAGTTTGTGGACCTAATGTTTCTTTTAACCTTAGAGAAGGCTTGAAAGCTGATTAACATTAGTCACTGGCTTTGAAGTTGCATCTACAAAATCTGGATTTTTAATTGAAACGCAAGTCTAGCAAGAAATCCTGTTGTCGTGACTTTTCTAAGTATGGTAGAATATAAAAATCCTGTCTTGAAAACTGAGATTAGTTTCTGGTTTTTCAGGAAACTCAAGCACACGGTTCTTTACTGATACAGGTTGTGTAAAATTACTGAGAATATAAAGGGTTTGTGGAGTCAGCTGCCAAGCTTAAGCTGCATTTTCCTAGTGAAAAGTTTGTTGCAGAATATTCTTGCTTTAGCAGTAAAAGCTGTGACTAAAATACTTTCTGTGAAGCAGTTTGCCTTTGTTCTAGCAGCTAATTTGTTACTGACTCTGGACACTTCAGCTCTCATAGTGTATTTTAGTTAAAACCTCTTCTTTCTGTTCTTCTGTTCCAATAGTTCCTAATCTCAGATACTAAATTTTCTTCTCCTAGCTCCACTGGATCTCACCTCTGACATTTTTTTTTTGTCTTGTTTACCTTGGTTATTGTAGCTTTTTTTTTACTTGTGTAGTTTTTTACTTATATTGTGTGTTCTCTGCTACCACCTTATCTGCTAGGTCACAGATTGTGTCTTTCTCATCTTTTTTTGGGAGGTGAATTGAACCCACTGAATTTAGTTGAGGGAAAGAGCACTTAGAGCTTGAGGAGGCTTGGTGGGATGGCCTGTTTAAGTCCACTCTGCTTTGTTTTCCTGATTGTCCTGGTCTTCTTTGTTAGCTTCTGTCTCTATTGGATGCCTTTTTAATCTGCTTTTGTTTGGTTTGGTTCTTGGGAGTGTTGGGGCTTGTTTCCTGGAATCAGGGTCAATGTCTACTTTAACTGTTCCTCTTTTTCTCCTGCAAAGAGACCAGTTATGTTCTAGCTGCTGCTGGCATCTCAATTTTTTGCCTACAAATAGGTTACTTTATGATGACAAAGACCTGTAAAACTACAAATGAAACTAAGACTAATCACAGTGAATAATTCCACTGTAACAGTAGTTGCCAATATACACATTTTTTGGTTTTGCTTTTTTTTTTTTAATTACGATTTTGTGGATAAAGCTTATGTTTTTCAGAAAGGCTAAAAGAATGCTGATCTGTGTTTGTCTCTTGTTGGCTAGCATTTGCACGTTGATAAAATCCTGTCATCTCGGACAGGAACAAAACTAGAGGTACAAAAATTTGCACCAATTTCAGTTTATGCCAATAGATATTTGCAATCTTGCCTCAACAAAGATAGTTTCAGAGCTGTCACACTATCTGAGCAATAAATACACCTCAAAGTAAAGTTTAGGATGCAGCAACAGCACACCCATATTGTCAGTGGTGGTAACAAAAGGTTTCTTTCTGATACTCTGATAAATTGTGCTGTGTTAAATCCATGTTTCTTGGGCTCTAGAAAGACTATCCTAGCTTCTGGATTGCTGCCAGTGTCTTCAAAGCTTGCATTTGTTGTGCTACCTACATCCTTCTTGTGCTTTTTAATTTGTAGAACCTGTGTGCAACCATATTCGTAAAGGACTGGACCAAGGGCATGTGAGAAAGGCACTGCAGAATGTGGAATGGCATGTTTGTCAGGACTGCAAGGCAGACAGTAAGACACAAGAGAAGGCTGAGGAGGAGGAGACTGATGAAGGCACTTCGATATGGTTATGCCTAAAATGTGGCCATAGGGTATCTCTTTTGTTGTTAATTTGTCTTAATACCTTTCAGTGTCTCATAATGCAGTGGAACAAGAGAGTTTCTAATTAAACTCTTATATTCTCTTTTTTTATTGTAAAGATGGTGCTACCTAGATGACTTTATTTACTGTAGAGTGTGATTTAAAAATGTTTGCTCTGTATGTCAAATAAAATACTTGGAAGATGGCTCAAAGACATTTAGCAGACTTAAGGCTAAACCACCATCTTGAAGACTGATTTTCCTAGAAAGTTTGAATTATTTTGCAGAGAAAATAAAAATGCTGCTAATCTGTGGGTTTTTTTACAAGATCTTCATACTCACATTAGTTCATGGAACTTAAAACTCTGCATGCCAAAGAGGTTTTGGTACTGTTTTGTTCTTTCAGGAATTCATTCATTAAATGTTCAGTCCCATATCAGCTTTATTCTGCACCCAGTAATCTGCAGAAATAAGTATTTTGAAATAGATATCCATCTGTTGATCCCCGTTAGTAGAACATAATTGAACAGGTTTGATTATAATACTTCGTTTTTACTTTGACTTTATGTATGTTCTGACAGTCAAATGGATTTTGTGACACTTGTGGTTATCAATATTGTAGGGCTGTGACAGAAATTCTCCAGACCAGCATGCTTTAAAGCATTTTAAAACACCAAGATCAGATCCCCACTGTTTGGTTCTCAATTTGGACAGCTGGAGTGTGTGGTGAGTTTGTCAGACAGCACAAGACAGAGCTTGGGGGGCAACAGAGGCTGGAACATAATGTGTCCTTTCTTTGTAGATTCTGAGATTTCTCTGTAGGCATATATTAAAGTGTTTCCAAACTTGTAATTTCCAGCAGTCTTTGCTGAGATTTGCAGAATAACTGTTATTTTCTTGTAAAATTTATGATTAGAAAATTTTCATAATTAAGGTTGAACTTGACCAGCTAGTAAATGTGGTTGACTTAATACTTTTTGCAGCTTTTACTTGGTCAGAATACTGACACGTGGACACTATTCTTGATCTGTAGCTCTAAATCTTAAGTCTTGACCTTGGGAGAAGGTTCTTTCTGATGTGCACTTAGTGACAATCTTACTTTTATCTCCTCTGTAAATATGATTTTCTAATACTACATATAGACAGGAAGCATAGCTAGAATTACGAGATGCTACTGGATCAAGTAATACAAAATCCATGTTCCAGAAATTTTTGGTTTTCTCAAAAGTAATTACACACTTATATGAGGGGGAACCCTAATTTTCTAAACTGTGCTATATAGAAATACTGTACTTGACATAAAGAGTTCGTTTTTCTTAGTAATGTGGTTTTGCAACATAATATCTGTCGTGTTCATTTTATATAACAATTTAATTGATCATAGTTAGCACTTACATGTAATGATCTCTACTTTTAATGAATTGTAGAATGGAAATGGACATTGTTAGTAACATTATTACTAATGAACTAGTGAACTTGTCTTTTTGAATTTAAAGTAGTGTTAAAATTGTGGGTTTGAAGTGCTCTATTTTCCCTGTTTTTTAATCAAAATATTTGCAAATAAGAGGAAGTTGTGGAAATAAGATGTTTGGCTTCCTACTAGAATTTCTTTGTTGTACAAACTTACCCAAGCAATGATTCAAAGATTGATATATTGGCTATAAATTAGTTATAAATCAAACCCACTGTCAAGAACTGTATTTCACAATAGGCCTTGTACAGAAATTCTGATCAAAATTTTAATCAAAATTCCAATTCTAATCAAAATTCTTTTATTAATGATGTGAATGTGTGACCAAACCTCTCTG